AGAATTAAATCACATTTAATTCGTAGTATAAAAAACTTTGCACTTTTAATTCTCCAAAGCTGATGTTAAACGTAAAAAATGGATAGTAGGAATCTATATTTTAACGAGAATAATCTCAATTTGCAAATGTAGCCTGAAGAGAAATGGTTGATATTTTTTGATAAAGAAATATATAATTGAGACGATTCACCGTTAACTTTGGAGGAATATAATTGAGAGATTCAATAAACCCACGTCAGCTCTGGATAGTTAATAGATTACTTATATAGACGAAGCGATAATTAAGTATTAATATTCGTCTGATTTTATTGTTAGATATGAGAAGCGCAAGGAAACTATTTTTCCTTTTTCAAAATATTAATAGAAGCGGTATATTCATAATTCTTGGTTACATTGGTTCGATTGAGGTCGATAGTAACTTACAGCCATAAATTACTAAAACCGATTATTCAAACATGCATTTTGTTATGAAAAATGAATCCTCGCCGAGTATTTTCGTGACTATCGCATGCGGTAGCAATGGCGACGACGACGACGACAACGACGGCGACAGCAACGGCAACGCGACATCAACGATTTAACACGGAGGATAAAGCCAGATAGAGATGAATTTAATGAAGCGTACACCCGCGTCGGAAATTCCCCGTTCTCCTCCTGGTACCAAAGAATTCCCAGGAGCTGCGCGAAGCAAAATCGTTCCTCCGGAATTCGCGCTAGACTACATCGACCCCGTTTCGTTTCTTCGCGCAAATTTCGAGATACAGGCTGCTCCATAAATATTCATAAAAGAAGAAGTGTAAGGAGAAGAAGAAAAAGTGGGAGGAGGAGGGGGGATGTCATCGAGAAGATCGGCCACTGGTATCTGAACTGGAAAATCGTACAAAAGGAGCAACACTGAGATGAAGAGAGCGGAATGAAGGAACTCGAAGAAGCTCGAAGAAACTCGAAGAAAAAGAGGCGAAGAGAGAAAAAGAGAGACAGAGAGAACGAGAAGACGCGGGCGTAACGTAGAAAAGTTGCACCCGGCACACTGCATCAAGATTCAGGAGAAGGAGAGACTATGCCAAAAGAGAGACGAGGGAGTAGAAAGAGGGTGGCGGAGAGAGACGAGAACGGTTGGACGGCAGGGAGGAGGGTGTGGAAGGACGCCGGGGAGGGTGGCGAAGAGGAGACGGGGGGACACGCGCGGCGCGTTTCTGGAGTCGTCGGGACGCCGAAAATAGCGTCCCGATATGATGACGCCCGGAGCGGGCCGATCCTAGATTTCAGTCAGTTCGCAAGCTCGAAAGCCGCTGAACAGTAGTAGCCCCGGATCCAGTAGTCTCGCTGCTCCGCATTTCTTTTTCCAAACCGACGTCGAAAAACTCGCGGACTCCCTCTCTTTTTCTTTCTTTCTTTCTCTCTCTCTCTCTCTCTCTCTCTCTCTCTCTCTCTCTTGTTCTCCCCCTCTCATTCTCCTCTCTCGTGTCCTTCTCACCCTTTCGAGAGAGTTACCCGAACACGACAGTCCGCAGTTGATTCTGTCGCCTAAGGGAGAGCGCATCGCGACGACAGAAGACGGAAGAGGGTAGAACGCAGAGATGGCGGACGTAGACAGTGTAGTGTACACGACCACCGAGCGCAAGGTGCGCAAAGTGAAGAAGACGACCAAGCGTCGGGAGAGCCACGACAACCAAGCGTCGGAGGTCACGATCACCGAGGTCGACAATACGCAGAGCAACCACCATGCCATCGAAGAGTATGTGCTGGCTGACGATACAATCCGGCAGACCCGCAGTTATAGTCTTATTATCATTTCTTCTTTCTTTCTCGTCATATAACGGCGACCCGTTGTCGCCGTAATCACTGTCGTGCTCACGATTCTCGTATACCATCCGGGAGCGGGATTCTGCGAGCGTCACCCCAGAAACTATGCGCGAGCGACCGGAAGCTTATGATTGCAACGACGATAATAGCACACACAATTGGAGGGCTGGTTACAAGTTTAACGTTACTTTCGGTCAAGTAAATCTCTTCCTGTATCAAGTAGAATTATAATCTAGTCTTGGGTTAGACTGTAATCTATTATTGGGAAATAGTAATGCAAAATTGCTTAATGAAAACTGTTAGTACAAAGAGTCTAAAATAAAATGCACAAAAAATGCTTTTTAATATTTTGAATTTTAATGTTGTTTGAAAAATTCTATTTGAAAAAATAATTGGTATAATTCAGCTGATTTTTATATATTCGATATTATAAATACGAGAAAATACTTTTTGTGGTATTTCCATCGACGTAACGTTAAATGCCCTATTGAACTCTTTAATTTATACTAACTAGAATAATCGTATCATGCGAAAATTGGTATAAACGTACTTTTGTAATTTCATTTTGTTCGCGGCTCAAATGTAATTGGAAAACGGCGGCGCATTTAATCTCAAACACTCGTTCACTCCGTTCGCTCGAACTCGGGCGATTTACGAGCGGCCGAAAATACTCGCGAGTGAAAAAAGATTAACTTCGAGCATCACATTTCCATTTCGTCACGCAAAGATCGTACTTGCCGTATCTAAAATGATATCGCTCATCGTATGAGTAATTCTCTCCGGATATCCTTTGACATTTCGTGACTGTGGGCTACAATCCGGCAGACATACTTTGCCGTATCTTAGTGAGAATTAGGGTGACGCTCCAGGAACTCGAATCTTTCCAAAATTACACGAAAAAAAAAAAAGAGAAACGATTCTTCTTTCATAAGATCGTTGATTGTTTTATCAATCTTTGGAAAGCCACCTGCAGTTATAGCAATTCTTTTCTGCGGGGTTCACAGTAAAAGTCATTGCGATCGTAGGATCTTAAGCCGTAGATAATTGACCAATCACAGTTAAATATAAAAAGAATAATCTCGACTATGATTGGTCATTTTTCTACGATTTAAGACTATGAACGCTACAACTTCTATTAGACCCCGTATTCTGTTATTAAAAAAGTGGAAAAATATTCATTTTATTTTTAAGATCAAGCCGATCGAAATATTGAAAATAAAGGGAGGAAATTTTTAAGTTTCTAAAGAGTATTTTTAGATAATGCTATATTTTCTTGTATACGTATGTATAAAGCGTTTTAGCTGGAATTTTAGAAATTATTGTTTTTAAATTATATTAATATATGTGTGTTTTCTACGTTATATAAAAAAAACTCAGACTTCATTGTAAACTTTTAAATAAAATGAGGTAGATGTTACTATAAATATTATGTAAAAGAGTTATAAAATAATTAGAATATTTTGAAAAATGTTGTAATGCTGTATTTTATGATTTATACATGTACTTCTTAGACCTATAGCTTATTGAAGAAAAAATACAATTTGAAATACCCACTTTTCCGTAAGTGTGATTGAAACACCTCGAACATTTTTCTCTGCTATTTAATGGTTTTTCAAAGATTGAGAATGCATGTAAATGCCTTAAGAAAGCAGAAAAAACACTCGCCCAACTTGCGCAATGAAAACGCTCAAAACAAAATTTGTACAGTCATACGCGTGTCACGATAAATATGACTTTGTACAGAAATACTCAGCCAGCACATACAACAGCACTCATCCAAGGTACATATTACCAGCATGTATCAACGATTCTGTTCACCATGATCACGTATGGTATATGATCGAAAAATGCGATCGAAGAACTCTCAACGAGATTGTAAAATATAATATCTGGAGAGAAGCGATTTTCTTACCTGCCTCCAGAACTTTTGGATGTTTTATGTTTCTATAAAATTCTGAGGAAACATCTCAACTCTATAATAAGTAATTTTTTTTTCGGTATATTAAATTTCCAGAAATTAGCCTAAAAACGTTACGTAAAATGTATAGCAAAAATTTAATTTAAAGATATAATTAACAATTAGAATTCATAAATTTTAATTCACATATTTATTATTAATTTAAGTGCATATTTATGCACTTATAAATGATGAGTTTAAAGAATCTCAGTGATTCATGAATTAATATCTTATTCTTTCTTTTTGAAACGGTTCTAAAATATTTAAACCATACATAAACATTACAAGACTAAACTATTGTTATTAGTATATAATGCCAATAATGTTTCGTGAATTTTACTCTGAAAGTAAACGATAAAGTTCACGAAACATTGACATTAGCAATAAATTACGACACATCGATAAACCGTAAACCCTTTGACACCTTTGAAAAGAAAGTACTCGTGAAAATCTCAAAAACATTAATTAGTATATAAATTTAACGTTATAAAACAGAATTTAAAACTCGACATGTTTTAAACAATCATTACATGGTAGATAAACACAGAACTACCAGTTAATACCAATATGAACATTACGTCATAGTTTATAGAAAAGTCAAAGTATCACTACGCAAACAATATGGACAAAATATTCTCTTTATTAAAACAAACTAAAATTTAATAGTTTACATGTAAATATAATAAACAAAGCAACGCAAACTATAATGACGAACATAATTTGAAATATTTCTTCCGTTACAAATCTTACTTTTCCTGTTACTTACTCATGTGCAACATTTAATAAAATTAAATGGGACAGAAATTACAAGGAGTTAAATATATATGTTATTTTTATATATATTTTATATATATTATTTTTCAGTAAAATAACAAAAATATTGAGGTTTTTAAATAAATTGTATTATCATTATTTTATTAATATTTTATTCAATTAATTTATAATATTAATTTTTAAAATTCATAATTTTTCTTTTAATGATGCTTTTTGTAATGTAACAAGAGACTAATGGATAACAGCATTTTAATTCTTATGTAAAATATTAATTTTTTAATATACACTTTTATATATTTCAATATATTTAGCTCTTTATGATTTTTCAGTTTGAAGAATACCGTACAGTTTAACTTAGAATTAGTTTTCAATACAGAATCATATAGTTGACTGATGTAAACGTCCCGAGACGGTTCTCCATGAATATGTCATGAATTCTAAACTCTTGGTATTCGCGTTGCAGTTGATTTTCAGTGGCGAGTACACAAAGGCGATGAACAAGGACTGGCACAGCGGTCACTTCTGTTGCTGGCAGTGCGACGAATCCCTGACAGGACAGCGCTACGTTCTTAGAGACGAGCATCCTTACTGCATTAAGTGCTACGAAAGCGTTTTCGCCAATGGCTGCGAGGAATGCAGCAAAATCATCGGCATTGACTCCAAGGTATTTCCATCATTTGGAAAAAAGTTTATATGTAATTTGTTCAGACATGATTCTCCATTAATTAAAGAAAGATCAAAGCTTTTATTAGCTATTAATTTAGACAACAAATCTTTCAATTTTTTAAAAACAAAAATTATAATTTGGTGCTAATTCATAACAGCGGTTTAAATTATAATTCCATAAAACATGAAAATATATAGTAATAAATAACTTGAAAATTATATATTTGCAATAAAGTGTATTAAATTTAGAATTGTCCAGAAATTCGTCCTTGAGCGTTTTTGATCTATATGTTACGCACTTCAATGCGTATGCGAACAATAAATTACTTCGTTCGTACAGCCTCAAGGCGTAATTAGCGGCCGTCGAATGATTACGAGACCCGGTGTCAATAGATGGAGAAGCATGGGCGTTGACTTACTCATTTCTAGAAATAGAAGCGATGATGCAGGTGCAGGCTAACCGTGTATTGGCTTCGAACGCCGATTTCCTCTCTCTTTTCCGCGCGTGATTGCCGTTATTGTAATATTTCGTTTGCTCCTACGCGCAAAAATCATCGACCTGTGGTGGGAAAATGAAGATGTGTTATTTTCCTTGCGATCATCATCATCATACAGAATTACGTAATTCGATTAATAATTTCCGTGATCTCAACATCCGCAATGATTTCCTGAAAATTATTTAGATACAACGCACGCGACGCTTGCAGAAGAAATAAAAGAAATCAATTAAATCCTCTTTTGTAGAGTATATACAACATAATACGCTAATAACATCGCGTAATTTTAGTCTCAGAAATGAATCTTTAAAAAATATTAAATCTCTTGAATTATCTTTATACACACTGCGGTTTAAACAAGCTAGTAATTTTTTTAACATTAAACATATTTAATAGAACAATTAATTAATAGCTTCTTTAAATTGTAAAAGCATATTTTTTTATTTGTATAAATAATAATTTTTTTAATTATAGAAGTTAAGAAAAATAAAATAAAAATAAAAAATGAATATAAAAGTGTTAACGTAGAGTTTGATGACATTTTCAGGATCTGTCATACAAGGATAAGCATTGGCATGAGGCCTGCTTCCTCTGCAACAGGTGCAGAGTATCCTTGGTGGACAAACAGTTCGGTAGCAAGGTGGACAAGATCTACTGCGGCAACTGCTACGACTCCCAATTCGCCAGCCGTTGTGATGGATGCGGCGAGATCTTTCGTGCTGGTACGTAATATCTTAATACAGCAGCTAATTTTTCTTATGACAGAGAATTAAAGAGAGATCCTTAAAATGTCACATGGGGCTTTGATCTAGTCTTTTAAATGTAAATACGTTTATATGCTCATGATTTATTTATGTTTGACGCAAATATTTAATACAATTGTTTATAGCTATTTGTAACATGCACGTGAACGGTGAGAAATACGCAGTTTCTTATATCTGTATTTGACAATGATGTAAGACTTTGAAATTTCACAAAAACTTTGAGCAATTTATACTTGTTAAATGCTACACGATAAAATTTGATTATCGAAGAAAAAATATTAAACAATGAATGAGATTTTATTATTTTTTCTTATTTTTTTTCTCATTGAACGAAAGTAGGAAAATTGGAAGTTGGAATAAGTATGTTCTTGAAAATAGTTACGTGAATTTTACGACGCTTGAATACAGCCTTTGTAATTTACTGCATCGCATAAACTTTCTGACAAATTTATAGAGCCATTAGATTTTAATGGGATTAAACAATATACTTTCTAAAAGGGCGATTATGAAAAAATAAAAACAAGTTTTGTATGTAAAAAAAATACAAATACGCAATCAATCCGATATGAAGCTCAATCAATACAATCGATAAACATAAATGATAAACGTCTCGATTAACTGGCTATCCGTGTCTGAATGACCACATCAGCGATTATATCATGAAACGTAAATGAACGTGAGGAAAGTATAATTTACGAAGTGAGAGAGACAAATACGGAGTAACAGTCATGGCGTACAATGAAAGGTCGACTCAGAAACAAATCTCTTGGTGATTTCCACCTACGATCGCGTTAACACCTGTTCTTGATAGATCGCTAGCGAATCGTTCCCCGACAGTGATTCATAGTGTCAGGTACGAGCGTGAACGACCGAGAGAGAAAGAGAAGAAAACCGATAGATCTTGCATTTGGAGTTTCTTATTAAGGTAACTGAGTCAAGGCTCGAGCTTCAGACACTGGCCAATTATTGTGAGCCGTTTTGAGACTGAATACGTCATTTTATATCTAATTCGTTAAATCATTTTGCATAAACATCTTAATTAAGCTGCGTTTACCTTTCTCTTGCATTCAGAGATCTTGTCCGATCTCTTGAAATGACTTCTTTCATAGATCGAGCTTGAAGTCATTAGCCTTTTTATATACCTTTTTTTTCATCTACAAGACTGAATGACAGACAATGATATTAATAAATGTGAATGGTGGGAGTGCATATTTTGTAACGAGCTAAGTTTATTTAAATTTTAAATCGTAATATTGCTCACGTTTAAATCCCCTGTAATTTTAAATTTCCTGTAATTAGGTATTTATGTAATTATTTTAATATAATTCAACAAACTTTTACTTTTAGATCTATTTAGTTAAATTTTTTAATATTTCAGTAAAATCGTTTTTTCTGTATAAATATTAATGATTTTATTTCTTTGTTTATGTTTTATTCAAAAACTTTTTAATCTATAAATGTTGTATTTGTAGGATGAGAAAGTAATAAATAATAGTTATAGTCCAATATTGATTTTATAAAATTTTTTTTTTAAATTAACAAAAAGTTGAACACAATACGTATATGATATCGAGAGTTTTATATTTTCTTTAATTCCTGCAACGGAAAGTAAACTGTGGCATAAATTAATGGAATGTATCAGAAAGCAATTTTTCTGATGCATCCAAAGCGAAATCGAAACGCTTACGTAAGTGGGTCAACTGCGAAGATTAGTGGTCAACCATGACAATCGACATTTTTCAAGAACCGATGAAGGAACCGGTCGTTATCCGGGATGATAATCGCTATTGTACACTTTGTTGCTCAAAGTTTACTTAAAGGTTGCATATGCTTAATCTTCAGTCAGTAGATAAACACTCTAGATATCACGAGACCGATAACCTACAATATTATAATACAGTTTATACTGCGCATCACGATTTATTCAAAAGATTACGAGACGCTTAAAAAATGTTATAGAGAATCTTGGCTGAATAGCACAAATGTCGTTTTATCCGGCATAGTTAGGACGTAATTTAAATATCTAAATATTCAAAGTATTGATTTATGCATCTTGAAATAAGGTAAAAGAAATGAAATTTTATAGCCTTAATTTTGAAAGAAAAAGATATGATCTTTATTTAATTCTAAATAGATAGCAATTTAAATATCTCAAAAGAATGTAAACATAGGATTTTTATACAACAATAAAAATGCAACATTTTTCGTTCTGGATTAGAATAGAAGATTTTAGAAGATTTCAGAAAAAGTAAGACTTTCGATGTTAAAAGTTTTTGCGGAAATATCAACAAACACTATAATATTTTTACTGATACCTTATATATTATTACTTATTGAAACTTGTGACGCACTGCGCTCTAATAATATTGGCATGCACTTATCATCAGGATGCAGCCCGCGCTATTCTCACAACATAGTCATTCGTTAAGAATAATTTGCGTGATACATTGAGGAAGGTCGGATAGCGTGGGAGTTGGGACGAATTCCAATTTCATTTCTGACAAATAAAAAGAATTAGCTGACGTCGGGGTCAATCGAGGAATTGTCGGCGCGAATGATTTGGTACCAGCGTATGTCTATATACGGAACTCGACATTTCACGATGAACTACGTATCAATATTTGAAATCTGATCGTATTCATGATACCATGCGATCTGCCTGAATATCGAGATTTCCTGTTTCCTCTACATCTGTTTCCGACATGCTTCTCTCCCGATGTCAATTGAAAAATAGATTGAAGAGGGTACTTACGGACGTTTACGCGCAAAATCACGTGGAACAAGTTTTTCAGTTAATCAATTCGTACAAAAAAATTACGCATCATTAATCATTCGATATCCGTGCGCGCGTAGATAAATCTTCGGGCACTTTAATTTAACAAAATATGAATAACAGTTTATGAATAGCAATTGTCAGAGCTTTTTTTATATTATTATAAATGACACGTTATATACTTATTGCTATTTGCAAAATTATTCAATAGAATGTTTCATTTTTTGCAACTATTTAATACTACACATTATTCCCAAGAAAAATGTTAATCTGACGAAAAATATAAATTAACCTCTCATGGTCACACTTTTAAAAGGGTTAAAATGACCCAATAAACCATTCTTGAACTGTTACCAAATTAAGGATATTAATTCCAGACTTCAAAAAAATTACAGTATATAATTGCATCCTTTAAGAAATGGAATAACGCGCGGTGTTGTAGTGAACAGATTAATTTTAACCCTAAAAAATCGTAAACATGTCAACTTTGGAAAATAAGTTTTTTATTTGAAAAATTAAAACTTTTTAAATTATAATGTTTTCAAATTTTTATTTTAATCTAATACTCTTGACAAAAATTTATATATTATGCTCAAGCTATTTTGATCCATGGTGATCATCAAGGGTTACAGGAGTCAAATAACTTTTCTGTACGCAAATTTAGCATTTACTGTTAAACATAAAATTTTGATAGGATAGTGTCAGATAACATAGTACATAAATCAGTATTTAAAAAATGAATCGGTTTTCCGTAATAATTTAATTATTTGCTATGATATTTTTGGCATTAGAAGTTTAATTTGCCAAAGTATTTTTATCTTTAATTTCCGATCTTAATTTTAACAATAGTTTTTATCTTAATAACTTCAAAATTATATTATAGAATCATATTAATAAATTATTAAAAATTGATTTTAAATTAGACAAGAGATGATTGTTAAAACTAAGATCGAAATTTGCGCAATTCTGCATATGGAAGCATGTCTCTTTAGATGGATATTATAATTCTAATTCAAATTCTATCGATGATTAAAGATCGCAATATGTAAAATCCTTGAAAATCTTGTAACGTGACTGCGATAGAAATATCCTAATCGAAAAAGAATAGTGCGACACAGAATTAATTGCAAATTTATTGGACGATAAATTCTTTCAGAGTAATAAATTTGTCATATATTTCATAGCTTTACGGGTTTTAGTCCACCATAAAAATATTACATGGATTATTTCGTGCTATTTAAATTAGTATAATTTGGACTTCTATGTAAATTTATCCTGATTAAAAGGTGGGTTGGCTAGAACTCGGGATCCCTACAGTGCATCTTTGATCAGCACGCATCTACGGTTAAAATCTGGAGGCGTGTGTCCAGATATAATCCGCGAACATTAAGCGGCGATGGTAAAATGCCTCTCTCGTTGGCTATATAACGGCTAAGTTATCACACGGTAACACACGTTGCGCCTGCCCGCAACGGTGACTCCAGCGAGAACCGAAGAGCTGTCTGCCTTCAGTGATTCGTAAGACCTCGGCCCAATCGCACGCTTGATTCTCAATGTTCGATTATTCGGCACATCGGGTTAAAATTTTCTCTCTCCTCTCTTCTTTCGCGATTTATTTCACATCTTAATTAACTTGATATTTTGATTAAAAGGTCAAGTTGTATAAGAAGGAATTAAGCTTATAATTCGGAATTGAAATGATAGTTTAAATTAACTGGCAAACAACTTAATTTAAATATTTTAATTAAAAATAATTATAACTGATTCGGGATTGTTTGCGTAAAATCTTGACATTATAAATTATCATCAAGTCAGTTCCAATCACGATCGTTGCATAGCGCTATATAAAAAAAGGCGCACGAAAGTTTTGTTTCTGCAAGTTCGCGTTTTCGTGTAAACTTCGTGACAGCCGGTGAATGCACGCGTGTTTGTTTGTATAAACGTTTTGAGAGAAAATATGGCCACCGACGCATTGAGTGAGCGGCTGTCGAGCAAGCTGCACCTGCAGACGAAGACGGTGGGTGAGGAGAGAATCAAAAGAGCTAAAGAGAAGGATGAAGATGTTGCGATCTTCCGCATGTTTTCCATGGAGGGTGATCCTACATTCAGATGCTGCCTGGGCAAATACTGCCTTCTCGGAGACCCGAAGAATACAGACCCAGGTGACGATCGTGACGATCGTTCG